GGGGGCGAGCATATATATATACATATGTTTATATATACAGACACATCATGTACACGCATGGTCTGATAGTTCCATACCTCTGCATACGCATGTGAAGACCCTCGCACACGCTTCCGTGTAGCTGAGGCTCGGCCTTAGCGCCCTGAGCGCCCTAGACCGGCCGACCAAAGGCGATGATGTCGAATTGCTTTAAGCAAAAAAGTTTCCCTCATTTCGACTCTTGCGTTCGGTCACGGTCAGCTCGCTCCAGCAAATTGCGGTACAGTGACGGTGTGAAGCGATGACAGTGCTGACGTCTTCGAGCATGATGCAGATAACGACCACAACAACACCAACCGGAATGTCAGTGACAATAATCGGCTCTTCTCACTGTTAGTCACACACTAAGTAGGGTGTCACGTTGAGCAAGACTTGATACTGTCGCTGGTTTCCGGAGAGGAGGGTTTTCCAGGTCGATGTAATTACTAGTAGTGCAGAGGGGAGGTATGACAGAAAAGAAACCAGCAGCCCACTGGGAGAAACAATGGCTCCTGACTGAAAGGTTGTCTGCCGTTTGAGTTGTCGCGTTGTAAGCAGGTGGTTGTTCTGAGTTTGGTTGTGAATCTTACTGGCCGCTGTTGGCATCCTTCCTTGCTTCTCAAACATGGAGCTGCTCTGTAAGCCACAGTGCATAGAGGCATGGAGACACCCTATAAGCATCTTGCACGAGTAACGAGTTCTGCGACAGCACCACAGCCCAAGCAAGGACTATCCGACCTTGCTGGAGCCCAAGCATTTGCCCAGCACCTTCATCATCTTTCATCAGTCATAGAGTCATACATCGAGACAGAGCTGACTTGCACCCATAAGATCAGGGCACAGCAGGCACCACTGATCCTCAGCAGAAACCCGCTGGATTGAAGACTTGCGCTCGCCCCCGGCGAGCAATGCGGACAGGCGTGGCTGTGTGGGAGTTTGTATCAAGTCTGACAACTACCCTATTAGGATGTGGCCGCTGCGTTGTCAAGGCTCCCAGATCCGAGGTTGAAATTTGCGAAGGCAACCAAGAACTACTGTACCCATGTGCTGCCTGTGTGCCCTGCCGAGCTTTGCAAACGTGCAACTCTACATTTCGCATCCCGTGCAGTTTGTGCAATGGCTCTACGCCTGTTACAGGCTGCTGCGCCCCGTCAAGCCAATGGCAGAGGCCACAGAGGTTTGGTTGGGCTTGCAGAGTGGCCATCAACCAGTTTGAAAAGATGACATGTGTACTTCATTGCAGGACCGCGAGGAGTGCATTGAGAAAGTGCGGGAAAAGCAAGGGCCCCAGACGCTCTGGCAGGGATCGCAGTCGGTTTCGTTTAAAGAGTTTCCCGCATAATTTGGAGGCATGTGCACCTTCGAGGTTGGAGTTCCTGCTGTCACGCGACAACCTGCAGGAGGAAGCAGCATTGCCATCAGACGGTTTGGCAGCTATGGATGAGGTTTGAAGTTTGAAGGCCGCTCTGCGTAGTAGAATATCGAACCGATTCGAAAGGAAAGTGCAAGAGAGATCAGCGCCCAACTGCAAGCTGCAGGACTGCTTCATCCAGATGAACATGGACTCGCAGATGCAGATCCCACTCCCGATCCTCGCTGGCGACAGACTCGGTTTATTGACGAAGGGCTAAAACATGCATAGTCCTCATCTGGCAACATCAGAGTGCACGGTGACATTTGTGTGGCGCGATCTGTTCTTTAAGCACATTGCATCCGATGGTTCCAGGCCACCAGCAGTTCGAGGAAATGGGGCAAATTGTAGACATTGCTACTCTTTTCGAGGCGTCGCCGCGGCCTCATTCCTATGTCTTTCCTTGGCTTGGTGTTCTTGAGAGCTGGCGGCTGTCTATTCATATGTGAACTGACTTTTGCAAGGCTTCGCTCCGAGCAAGTCATTGTTGACAAGGTAACCGGCAAGCAAGTTGCAGTGCGGAGTAAGTCTTGTCGGCTTTCGAGGAGAGTATGCAGATCAAGCCCGTCTTGAAGAGCAAGCGGAACACGGTCATTCTCCACGATCTTCCCGAGGCAATTGCTGAGGAGGAGCTGCGACACAAGCTTTTGAGTGACGGTTCCACTGGCATCAATGGCCCATGTCGACACTCACAATACGTCAATACGTATCATGTTGCAAGACGTGCGATGATGTTCTGGGGTTGCTGCATGGTCCTTCTCGCCGATGTGGCTCGAAGCTGCTGTCGGGCCGTGTGCTGTGCGTGGAAGATGTGCAGCATCCCAGGAAGCACAGTCGGCAGCTCGGGCATGTTGATGACGAGTGTCTGGACAAAACGAGTCACACAGGCAGTTGGAGTGTGACATGTAGGTGTGACCGTGCTTGTCATTCAACTGCAACTCTGCGCTCGTGCGGATTTATTGCCAAACTGTGAGATCAGCTTAGTGTCACTGCGGATGTCCAGGCTACGGCAGAGTTTGATGAGTTTGCTGCTGGTGATCATGTGCATGTGTGGAGTTCCTCGGCCAAGAGGCGGATGGCCTTCGTGCATGTTTCCATGAACTGTGAATTCTCAGATGTCTCAGAACCGGTAGCACTGTGCACTGTAGCAAACCACAAATGCATGTCCTTTTCTAGATCATCCTCGCAGTGTGGCTAGATGAATGGGGGTGTGCAGGTGGTTTGACGACGGCGAGGTGCAGGACAGCGTGAAGCAAGGTTTATAGTTTATTGCCTAGGGTGGCGCGATCACGAAGTGCCTCCAAAGCTCTAGCTGCTCTGGTCGTGCCAGGCGATTGCACCTGATGGCTCCATCACCGTGCGCTTCAACAATTCTCGGCCGGCGTGTAAGGAGCCTCGGAGCCTCCCTTCTCAAGGGCCCCAGCAGACCAAGAGACACACGTCTGGATCTGGACTCTAGGAGGTGCCCCAGCGCCAGGCTCACAAGGCGGATTCGCTGGCGCTCCGCTTGGCGTTGTATCACTGTGTCTTTGCCTGAGAGAGGTCCTGCGTAAGCTGTCCGCGGCCGCCACGCGCCGCACTGATCCGCGGGCCGTCCTCCGCCAGGCCGAAAAAGCGCATAGGACAAGTGCAGCACAAGAGCAGCACAGCGTAGCACAGCGCTATGCGGCGCGATGGCGTGAGAGCTGTGACTCGTCGAGGCAATTGGTACAGGCCTCGGGCCGCGTGACGCCAAGCGACGCTGCGAGAAGGCCGCGGCTTTTGGGTTAAGTTTCGTGATGTTGAGCAAATTGCAGCAGCTGCTCATATCTGCTCATACTGTGATAGACGCCCCGCCCGTGACCACTGGGGGCAGCTGCAAGCACCGACCATTCACACCCGAGACTGCGAGCGTTCGAAGTCGAGTTCACAGGTCTTCGCCCAGTGCGCGGCAGGTGGCCGGTCCGTCTCTCAGGTTGGGCACTGTTGGGCGAGACACTTCGGCTTGAGTCCTTGCTTTTGGCACTGTTTTTGGCAGGGGAATCTGAGCCAGTTCTTGCATTCGCTGGGTCACGCCGCCCGTGCATCACTGCTCTCTGCGCTTTTTGCGCGTTCCGAAGAGAATCTGGGATTGGAGGAGAGCAAGGCAGACTTAAGCAATGCATGCTGAGATGTGTTGTCCTTTCCTTCACACCTGCAGCCAAGGAAGGACGACGCTGTAGACTTCCAGAACTTTGCTTCCTGGATCTACTCTGGACGCGGGCAGGCCACCGGCAGGAGAGAGCTGTAGCTGCTAGCTGCTGTTGAATTTCCCTCTGCAAGGCTGTACATCTGGCTCGCGCGGCCATTCAAGAGGATCCTGCAAAAAGAGCAGAGGCTCCGGTTTGCGTCAGCAAGCCGGCTTACAAGGCCTGGCTTGGGCATCCTGGGCGCGCCTTGCGCTGCAGAGCCCCCTTTGGCTTCAGGCGTTGAGCCCTGGCCGCAAGCGGAAGGCCGAAGCTCCGGCAAGCGCAAGCCTGGCGCAGAAGTGCAGCAGGCTCGAGGAGGCCGGAAACAACCTGGACCTGGACTGGAAGCGTCGGAAGGGTAGGGAGTAGCAGCCCTAGCTCGCTAGCTCAGTAGATGCTACCTGTAGCAATGGCGAGGGTATGAAGGTGGCGCACTGCCACTCTGAGTCTTGAAGTCGTCAGGCTCCTGCAAGCAAGGGAAAGCAGATCTTCGAGGGATGTGCTGTACTGGTCTGCGGCCGAGGACATTCTTGGGACTGCTGCAGTGCTTCTGAGTTTCTGCCTGAACAGAGGAGGCACCGCCATGTCTTCCACACGGAAGCAACTGCTAGAGGCCCCTGTATTTGCCAGCCCCCCCCCCCCCGCATTTTGTCGGCACGAAACTTCACAGCCACCTTGGAATCAACGCGGAAGCCAGGCTCGAATTTGCGAAGCAGGAGGCGCCTGCAGCAGCCAGTTCAGCAGACCCAGGGATAGAGGCTAGAGTTCCGGTTTCCTATCAAGGGACGGCCACACTGAGGGGACATTGGAGCATTTCCAGCCAACGGCCGGAAGACGACTTGCCGTTTCAGCCTCTTGGGGGTCATGTACCCAAGCCCTTGTCTTCGAAAGGGTTCAGGGCAGGACAAGAAGGAAGAGGCAGCAGCAACAATGAGTGGAGGTCGTGGTGAGCCAGGCATTCGCCCGAGCCCGATCCCAACCTTTCTGAGCAAGTGGATGTCGGGAGCAGGTGCTTTCTTCGTAAGAGCAGAGATATAGTGACATAAGTCAACATCAACGTTGTCAGCGCCAGTTCGACTTTCCTGAACTTGTTGGAGGAACAAGTGCGAGGTGGGCAGTTGTCTTGTGTGCAGGCTCTCTTCGCGAGTCCTGGGACGACGCAGTGACACACGTGGTGGTAGCGGGCCGAATGCCAAGGTGGGGGCTGGCTCCAGGTTAGTGGCTGATGTTTCCCGTGAATAGATGCATTGTGCCGACTGCAGGGCCGTCTTGATGCAGGACTACCCAGATGATACTTGGCAGTTGAAAGATTGAGCCCGCAATACAGTCTCCTTTGTGTCACATGACGACACTGCGCAGAGGCCAGACATGGTCCTGGTTTTCAAGATTCTCGATTGCACCTGTTGCAAGAGGATGTGCGCACCCATCGCCTCATGTTAAAGTGCAGAGCTTCAAAGCAATGGCCTCGAGGCGGTCGTCACTGATGCCTGGGTCAGCGAGTCTCTGGTCCTACAACGCCGACTACCAGAGGTGCATCCAGTCACACAGGTCACTGGGGCAGTGCAGCACAAGGTGCTTGTAATGTCCGCAGGGACGCTATGTGTGGCGACCCTTGATGGAGGCAACACGACGGTGTGGTGTGGCTTTCTAGGCCCCCACTCATGCGGCCTGTGTTCCCCCGACAGAGCGATGGCGGTGTGCCAGCCAAGCAGGAAGGACGACCCGTGGCGCGTGCATGTTGCTAGTCAGAGTTTGCCGAAAGCCTGCCCAACAACTTCTCATTTGCAGCTTCATCTCTTCATGTTCCTTGGCTGTTGTAGCATTCCCGAGACTTCCCGAACGAGCTGAAGCATGTGTGGCTTAGTCATGACCTGTCGATTGTCGAAACCCAAGTGATGCACAGTGACAGTCTTGCTGCAACTCTGTTTAGCCAAATACATTCTCAACAGTCCCGAAGTTCGCACACGCAGACACCAAGAAGTCTCATCGGAAGTCCTGAGTAGGGACTACCCTCCATGGACCTCATGGACTCGTTCAGTTTAATGATCTTCAGGCTGGGAAATATTGCCATTTGGTCCATAGTCCCCCTCGGGTTGCAAGAGCGTGCGTTTTGGGACAAGGGTTTCTGGATCGCTGCCCCGTCTCCGACTCACGGTGTGGCTGGCTGCTCCATCTGAACCGCTTGTAGCCGCTTGTGCGACCTACAGTGCCCGCAACACGGGAATGATTCGTGTGTGTGTGTGTCAAGCGTTTCGCATTCATGTGTTCACGGTGGAGGAGACTCCACGCAATCGCTTATCAAGAAGGAGAAACCTCAGGCTCGGTTAAAGCAGATCCAGCATGCAGGGGCAAAGGACCAAGTTTTGTCACGGATTCACATTCTTGTTTTAAGGCCGGTAGTTTCTGGTCACTTGGCAGCTCCAGGCACATGTCCCCGTGACCGAATGTGCTGGCGAGTCCGGGTCTGCTGCTCAGTTGTGACTGGCCCAGATCTGCTGTCGGACTGGCTTCTGCGCTTTGTTCAGGCTGTCAATCAATCCGAGGTGGGGTGTCTTTGCTTCGCCAGATGACCTGCGTGCAAAGATCGTGGAAGAGTACCGGCCCCATTTCGGGAGACGGCCACAACGAGCTTGTCTGCTCGTATGGTGAGAGGTTCCGCACCTGCGCTGCAGCTTGGGCAGTGCGTGGCGACAAGTGGCGCTCCTGGCAGTACAAGAAGGCGTCGACATGGAGCTTGATGGAGCTTGGGGGAAGTTGGGTCCAATGATTCAAGAAATCACGTGTTGGAACCCCCCATCCCCAAACGATCCCAAAGGTATCAAATGAGAATGCCGGAGGGGGGAAGTGGAGTCCACTGATAATATTTCGTAGAAGTGTGCTCTGAATGTCCTGTATTTATAGTCCATACGCTGATTTGTGTTTACACCAAAATTTCCCACTGTTCAAAATTGCACCATCCCTGTATTATCTACCACCTGTTTCGCTGTTACTATACGTGACTGCGGCCCTCTCTATCTCGCGTGCACAGCTGTCCAGCAGTCCGATCTTGATTGGGTATTTCGAGCTGGGTTGCTAGTCAACAGCTTGTGCAGCCATGTGTCTTTGTTTTGCATTCTTTTGTGTGCTGCTGCAATGCTGCGGTGCCCAAGGAATTGACGTTCCCAGAAGTAAAGAAGCTGCCATTTGGAGCGGCCCGAAACGAGCTCAGGAGGAGACTGATTGGCAGAAGTGGGCGGACATCTGGTCCAGTTTGCTGCAGCCACTTCCGGCGTCATCTCCACTCTTTGCCAAGCTGAGAGAGGAGGCGATGATTCCCTCGCTGAGACAGGTGCCTCGTACCAGGACAGCTTGCACTCTTCGCCGTTATTTACCCGGTTGGCGCATTTGGATAGAGTTCACTAACTGCGAAGTTATTTTGCACCAGGCGATCCGGAACAGGATGCGCTCGTTGCCTTCTTCCGCGGGCTGTCGGAGAGCAGTCGCTCTGCCATGGCTTGTGTTTCCAGCACGAGGTTGGTGGCTGCTATCCTTGGATTAGAGGGCTTGCAGGTGATGCTGAAGAGCTCTGCGGTGCTGGCTTGGGCGCAGGCTGATCGTGTCCATGCCCCGGCGAAGGAAGCCGTGCCGCTGCCGTTGTACGTGGTGGCAAACTGGGAACGTGCTACTCTGGAAGGAGTGCAGCGCGGCGGATCAGCTGATACGCTGCTGCTGACAGCATTCCTTATTATGATTTGGTCGGCTCTCCGCTTCTCCGATGCACAAAGGATCTGATCTCGAGGTTCGTACACCTTCGTGTTGGGGCAGTTGCGCAGGTTTCTTGTTCAGGTTGGCGGAATTGCGCCTGCTGCGGTTGCTAACTTCACTTTGGATCCGTGGCGAAGCTCGACCCATTTGGGGCCATCATCGAGCAAGGTGTTGCTAAGCTGATCATCAGCAAGGGCCATGTCTCCAAAGCCTTTGTCACAAAAGCCTTCCACAACGAGGAGTCGTTGGAGAACTTCATCGAAGCCGTACTTACGCGGGACCAGCCGTGTGGAGTATTGGCAGTTGGAGATTGGGAGATACACACTGTGTCTGGGATGCTTCGCGAACTCTGGGAGTCCAAGGACGCCTCGAATAATATGCAGCTCGCTCTGCCCCCGAAGCTATCCACTGTCGGCCGCCGCCCTGCTCTCTTGGCCTGGCAGCCTTGGGAACAAGCTTTCTGCTGCTGAAATAGGAAGCCTGTGGGACAAATTCGAGAAGGGTTATCCGAGCGAGGTGCTGGAAGTGCAGCACCGTCCTTGCAAACAATTAATCCAACTAGTGAACCAGTAGAAGTCGCAACGCGACTTGCGCGTCGTGCCCTGGAAGCAGTTGTTGACTGAAGTGCAATGTGACAGCCTCAAGCAGGGCGTGCAAAAGAAAGAACATGTTTCCCGAGCTTGCTTTCTGGAGCTTCCGGCCAGTGGGATCTGTTGGAGAGTGACCCACCTGCGTCCCCGTTTGGGGTTCAACGGTTGCTCATGACTCGCCTGGGCGACACAGATTAGGCTGCCGCTGCGTGCTTTTCTAACTCAGCTCCTTTTGTCATTGCGCTTCACCGTCCTACTGGCAAACGGCAGCTGTTGCATCCGGGGCAACTAGCAGAGCTTGCTGGGCTCCTCGACAGGATTTCTTCGCGAGTGTATCGGTCGGCTCGAGGCTCAGACCTGCAGGCTGGTTGGATGCTGCGCGAAGTTGGAGGCCGGTCTGTGAGCCCACAAAGCTTGGATCCCGTGCTGAAGCAGACGAAACTCAAAACTGGCAAGTGCTGGGTGCACTTTCCGGCCTGGGAGCATTCGAATTCTCAGCCAGAACTCGTTTGGTTGGGCGGATTTGGGCGGATTCTGATGGCTGTCTTGCGGGAATTGGCGGCTGGCATCAATCAGCATCTGGTACGCGTCGTTGGTTCCATGTCGGTCTGCGAGGGAAGATATTCCTGAGCACTGGATGTGGCCCCAAAGTATGCAGGTTGGCATTGGGTCACTGGAGCTGGCGGCTCAACTCGCGCTCATGATCGTGCGGGCCAGGGTCTCCAGCTTGCCGTGGCAGTGCTGCGACAATACAGTGACAATATGGGTGTGGTGGCATCGGTCTCTAATGGTTTGGCCAGCAAGCCACCGTTGTGTTGTGCGTTGGTCACACTTTGCTATGCTTGTCTGCAGATGGAGCGTGACCTCTCACTCTCACACGTCGCTGGGGCGCGTAATGTGGAAGCGGACTATCTGAGCGGTATGAACTGCCCTTCGCAGGCTTTGGACCACGCCTTCGAACCGTACCAGAATAGAGTGGCGATCAGTGTCAAGGATGTTTTTGACGGTATGTCATGTCTTAAGTCCGGTGTTGCTCGTGTCCTGTGTGAGCTGCGCCGGTCATACCAGCCGCGGCTTCGCAGGAGATGTTGTGTTAGCGGCTGGTACATAGCTGACATAGAAAGGACAGCAGGCGTCAGTGAATAGAGAAGAATTATTAACTACTATTTACTATCCCCAGCACTTGGAGATGCCTGGAGGCTTGTTTTGGTTCCTTGCCTCGGAGGCACATAACCCCAACGTCCTGAAAAAAAGACCGCTTGTGTTAAGTAGTGAGTGCGAGATTGTAGCGGCATTACTCGTTTCCAGAAGGACCGGTAGCTGTGACTTGCAATTGCTGCGTATTGGATTTGGGCTTACTTTAGACCGACATCACAAGTTTATATCCATACACAATATCACATCCATGTTTGATATACATATATATATATAGATACATACATATGTACATATACACATAAGTTCATGTGTGCATATACACACATACACATGTACGATAATATACACATATACACATATATACATATATACATATATACATATATACATATATACATATATACATATATACATATATACATATATACATATATACATATATACATTTAAACATATAAACACATATACTTTAGCG